ATTATTATTATTAGTATAGTTTAGTTATTAGTTTAGTTTAGTTATTAGTTTAGTTTAGTTATTATTATTAGTTATTATTATTATTAGTTTAGTTTAGTTATTAGTTTAGTTATTATTATTAGTTATTATTATTAGTTTAGTTATTATTATTATTATTATTAGTTTAGTTATTATTATTAGTTATTATTTTGACACTTGGCTAACGTATTGAATACAACGTTACATTTGATAGTGAAATCAGTTTATAATTTTTACAGTATCTGGTTGTATAAAGTTTTGTTTTATAGAATTCTTAATAATTTTACTTATTGGTTTGGTTGTTGTTAAGCGCAAAGCTTTACCCACCACGGGTATCGAAACCCGACTTTTAGCGTCATAAGCCTTCATAATTACTGCTGAGCCACTGGGGAGCACTAGCTAATGGATTGATTTGGTTGTTGTTCGCACAAAGCTACACAATGGGCTATCTGTGTTGTGCCCATCACGGGTATCGAAACCCGATTTTTAGAGTCATAAGCCTGCAGGCTTACCGCTAAACCAACTGGGGCTGCTTAATGGAAGGGAAATACTAGAAATATTGGTCACCATATCTTGTGTCGTTTCCAGTGTTTACTTCTAAATTCATCATAAACCTTATAAGCGTTGTAGTTATGTTTATCCAAATTCGGTTCTCACAACTTATTGTCTAACTTCCAGGCTGAGTGTCCACCTATTCAAATGGAACCAGTCGACCTGTCCGTCAACAAAAGCCGATCGACGTCATCTTCGCCAACTTTGTCGGTGTCTCCTGGGTTTGGACGTCGACTGCTTTCACCAGCATCGCCAGCAGACAGTCCAAGTCTCATTGATCTTAGGATAAATAAAGGAGGTAAGAAAGTGTAAAATATTGAAGCTTAATAACTAGATGTCCACCATTAAACAATTCATGTCTGGTTTCTTATTGATATCCTCGCTTTTGTGGGAACATTTCATGTTTGGTACCGTGACAAAGGAATTTATTAAAAAGTCGAAACGCAAAATTGTTTTTTATTTGAAAAATTTAGAAATTTTAGTTTTAATGCGACAAAAATACACATATTCTATTGTTTGTTATTAATCACAAAGCTACACACCACGGGTATCGAAACCCGGTTTCTAGCAACATAACTCCGCAGACACCGGGGGACACATATTCTAAAACAACTTATTTTTATATTAGGATATTTAGCAGATATCTGCTAAATATCCTAATATAAAAATAAGGATATTTAGCAGATATCTGATTACTTTGTGAAAAGTACGTAATGGATATGTAATGAAAGGCCAACAAAACCAGAAAATGTTACTCATTGTTGGAATATCCAGAGATATCTAACGGAACGCCAACAAAACCAGAAAATGTTACTCATTGTTGGAATATCCAGAGATATCTAACGGAACGCCAACAAAACCAGAAAATGTTACTCATTGTTGGAATATCCAGAGATATCTAACGGAACGCCAACAAAACCAGAAAATGTTACTCCTTGTTGATTTATCAAGTTATATCTAACGGAACGCCGACAAAACCGGGAAATATTACACCTTGTTGACTTATCCAGATAAATTTAACGGAACGCCAATAAAAACCAGAAAATATTATTCATTGCTGGCTTATCCAGAAATATATAACGGAAAGCCAACATAACTGAAAAATATTACCTCTTTTGGGGTTATTCAGAGGTATTTAACGGAACGTCAACAAAACCAGCAAATCCAGAGATAAATTTATAACACTAACAAAACCAGTTAATATTACCCCATGTTTGTGTATAATAACAGGCGCTAAGTTATACTAAGTTATATTCCTGATTGGAAACATGATAACCATGTGTGAGTATCACGTAGTGTTAGGGAACGTGGTAACAATATATTACTATTACATAGTGTCAGGGAACATGGTAACCATATATGACTATTACATAGTGTCAGGGAACATGGTAACCATATATGATTATTACATAGTGTCAGAGAACATGGTAACCACATAGTAGGAACTAGATGTAGTGAGGTCAACAACCTGCTTGCCCCTCATCTAATCATCTTTGTGGTTATTACATTGTTTTTATCCAGAATGTCGGTAAGCCACTGGGCGTTTCCTGTCTTGTTTCCACGACAGACTGACATAGATAGCTCATGAGAAGGGCGTGTTACGTCATCACAACTCTCGTAATCCCCTGTGTGGGGTCGGATTATCTCTGAGAAGGTAATTATTTAGGGACCGTGCACTAGCTGTCGTGCTTGTCCCAGCGGTATCTGTTCATCCCAGCCATTATTCCATTTTTTTAAGGCCACTAGTTGGGCCAGGGCCCTTATGGGAAGAAACACTGCCGGTCTCGAGTGCGATCATGCTGGAACGTGCTCCGATATCCCCGAGCTTAGTAACATTCGCTACAAAGTTTGCACTAGCTGTAGAATGCAGTGTTAGAGGGGGAACAACTTCCCCTGCAATCAGCGTTCTAATAAGTGAAGATGGGTATGAATCCTATCACGTAAAATAAACACGATAAGACCAAGACCTTTGGTGCTAACTTTGATTCAAACATTCCAACTGTTCTGGTACAAGAAACCCATTACTATATCAAGTCGATTCAAATCACCATCAACTCGTATAGAATATCCTCCCGGGGAATATATCACCTGTAAGATAGGTTTGCCACACGGCATACAGAATTTGATGTCACTATAGGCTGATGTTGTCACGTGCCTCAAGGGGCTGGACCTAAGTGGTCGTTCAACCCTCCGACCCCGTTTGGATGACGCTATAGGGGCTGAAACCAGTAATGTACACGATTTCAAGCGGGTTTTTAATTGTTCACCCTTTCCTTTCGTGACCAGTCTCGCAAGGCCGTGGGCTGTTACTAATGAAGTGTTGACCACGGACTTGGCTGTTCCCATATTGCCCCGTAGCTGATTAGAATATGATTAACATGTAAATCGCTATCGTATGCTAATCATGACACAGTAAAGGAATGTTAACCGTTAGTTCCGAAAGTAATTTATAAAATATAGTTTTTTCAATCACGAACATTCTTTGATCAATAATTATTGGAACGAATAGTCAAGTCTCGAGCTACAATTATATTTTATCAACAATGAGGTGGCACGGCTGATTAATTGCTGTAAACATGTAATTATAATTGTATTATGCTGACACTCTTCATAATGCTCTATCTTTTAACAAAGATCGACGATGTTCATCTTCTACAACACTTAAATTAGTGTCCGTTAAAATACAGTTGTGAAGTCTGAGAGCAAGAACGTTTACATTTTTACATCATTAGTTGTGAAGTCTGAGAGCAAGAACGCTTACACTTTGTACATCATTAGTTGGGAAGCCTGAGAGCAAGAACGCTTACTTTTTACATCATTAGTTGTGAAGCCTGAGACCAAGAACATTTAAACTTCTTACATCATTGGTGTGAAGCCTCAGAGCAAACACGTTTACACCCCTTACATCATTAGTGTGAAGTCTGAGATTAAGCATGTTTACACCCCTTTATTGCTTGATCTCAGACTTTCACACTAATGATCGTTTACACCCCTTACATCATTAGTGTAAAGTCTGAGATCAAGCACGTTTGCATTCATAAAAGTAAAATAAAAATTCTCAGTGTTAACTCTTAATACGACTTGTCACGTATGGACATGTCATAATTATTCTTAAGAGCCAGTCAGTTCCACGTGCTGTTTGTTCCAACGTTTAGTTGTTTGTTTCGGATATTAGTGCAAAGCTACACATTGGCTATCTGCGCCAGCCCCTAACTTCGAACGACAGACTGCAGAGAGTGGCTAGTCAACAGAATTCACAGAAGCAAACAAAGCATGTTAACTTCTTAATGTAAAATAATATACAACTGTAAACATTTGAGTTGAAAACTATTAACTGTTCTCCTCCAAATGGAAGGTTGAAGTTTATGTAATGTTCACATTTGAAGACGTAGTAACAAGGCACTCACCTTCTGGTTAAGAGCCGGTTTTGTTAGCGGTAATATTAGCAACCACTGTCTAAATGAATGTACTGTTGTGCCTACGTACAGGTCATTCCCCACTCCTGGGAAAAAATTCCATTTTAAGTTCCAGAATTTTCTGCCATTAAGACCAGATCTTAACCGGAAGATGAGCGCACCACAAGTGCATCCTCGGTTGCTAAAATGTAAAGAAAATAACAAAAATGAACTTCGGTCGTTGGGGTGAACGAAACTTTTCGTTTAGAATAGACAGATATTTCAGCAATTTCGTGATTTTCAAGTCTCACCTAAGGATGAGCAAGGAATGGGAAGAGATTAGGCTTAAAGTTATTTACAATGAGGTCTCTCCCAGCATCGAATATTTACAATTTATTAGTTTTCACCACACGATGTGGAAATGGCGGGTCCTGAGGCAAACGGAAAGATAGTCACGGTTCTACAAATTATGTCCGCCCCTCTATGCCGTGTTCCGTGTTATGTGCCTGAAAGTCACGACAAGCAACGTGGCTTACCAGTTTTTCCCTTTTAATTAGCCCACTTGCCGTATTAATAGGGTAGGAGAGTTATGGTTAGCTCGAGACCATCGGTTAAGTAGCTTAAACTTGCGGGGAATAATTCATATTGAACAAGAGAAGTACTCCCGGGGAGTCACCCATCGGGGAGTGTAGGTGGACTGGGCAGGTTCTGATGAATACTCCCCTACATGTGAGTTCTTCATATAGTTAATGAGGTCAACAAGAAGTACGTGAAGGTAAATGTCCGTAATTGTAAATCAAGCATTCTTTCCCTCACACCCCCGTAACTTGGATATTTTTCTGACTTTTGTGCGTTAACTGCATGTTTTAATTGTAAGGTGATGCAGTATAGCATACTGGACATATTAACCTCTAAGATCTTGGTTGAAATTTAAAGTATTACTGGCCACATTAACCTCTAAGATATTGTTTCAGCTTGTATTGAATTATATTTTATACAAGTTAATCTAAAATCAGAAAATAAACCATCAACTAAAGTAGGTGATAGTTATCCAGTTCTTTTGATCTCAGTTAAGATACAATTTAAAGATATCACATATCAAACTTGGAATTATTCATTGTTAGAAGAATATACGATACTTTCTGCTTTTGGTAGAGGTTATATTGTACAGGTATAGGTTATATTGTACAGGTAGAGATTACATTGTACAGGTATAGATTACATTTTACAGGTAGACGTCACATTGTACAGGTATAGATTATATTGTACAGGTAGAGATTACATTTTACAGGTAGACGTCACATTGTACAGGTATAGATTATATTGTACAGGTAGAGATTACATTTTACAGGTAGACGTCACATTGTACAGGTATAGATTATACTGTACAGGTAGAGATTACATTTTACAGGTAGACGTCACATTGTACAGGTATAGATTATATTGTACAGGTAGAGATTACATTGTACAGGTAGAGATTACATTTTACAGGTAGACGTCACATTGTACAGGTAGAGATTATATTGTACAGGTAGAGATTACATTGTACAGGTAGACGTCACATTGTACAGGTAGAGATTACATTGTACAGGTATAGATTACATTTTACAGGTAGACGTTACACTGTACAGGTATAGGTTATATTGTACAGGTAGAGATTACATTGTACAGGTAGAGATTACATTGTACATGTAGACGTTACATTGTGCAGGTAGACGTTACATTATTCAGGTAGAAGTTACTGTGTGCAGGTAGACGATTCATTGTGCAGGTAGAGGTTTCATCATACAGGTAGACGTTACTGTGTGCAGGTAGACGATTCATTGTGCAGGTAGAGGTTTCATCATACAGGTAGACGTTACTGTGTGCAGGTAGACGATTCATTGTGCAGGTAGAGGTTTCA